GATGGAGCTCGCGATCCCTTCTCAACGAGCGAGGTGGTTGATGAGCTCTCTATGAGATGCAGTCAAACATATGGTAAGGGTGGACCGTTTTCTTCGGCGTGCAGATAAGGCTTTCNTTTGGAGGAGACTTCATTTTTCCAGGCCACTTTATCGCGGGGTCATCCTGGATGTGAAATAAGATGTGTCCCACAGCAGCATTGAGGGAAGTGAAGGGTTGACGGTCCCTCTGAGGAGCAGGACCTAGCCGGTCCTTGACATGGACTCTNGGGTGGACCGTTTTCTTCGGCGTGCAGATAAGGCTTTCCATGCTCTCCCCCTTGATGACGTGGCTAAGCAAAAAGTCTAACTTGGTCTTGGGCTATGTTGGGCTTGGTGGATTTTTAAATAAGGTTGAGCTTCTCAATTGAGATTTGGACTGTGCACATAGATTGGGCTATTTTAGGCTTGACCCATCAGTAATTATTATAATGTATATAGTTAAGAATCAAAAGAGAATAAAAGGGTCATCCAACANCCTGCTCTGTAGGATTCACCTTGCCTGGCCCTTGTGATATCTTCCGTATTCATGTAATTTTGGGCCTTGGCTAGTAGCTCTGTCATGCTCTTCGATGGGCGCTTCATCGCTGAGAACAGGAAGCTTGATGAAGGGAGGCCACCCAAGAAAGCGGTCATCGTCACCTTGTCGTCGGGTTCATCAACTTGGAGTACCTCCTCATTAAAACGAGTGAGGTAACTCCTCAGGCTCTCCTCGCAGTCCTGCTTTATACTAAGAAAGTGCGTAACAGGCTTCTAGTGGCGACGCCTTCAAATAAAATGTGAAACGAATGAGGCAATGGAGGCGGGGGAGAGCTTAGCAAACCACTGTCGGGCAGACCCCTTCAATGTGATTGGAATGCCCTGTACATGATTTCGTCTGGTACGTTGTGCAGCTGCATCAAAGTCTTGGAAGTGTCGAGGTGGTCTAGTGGATCCTTTGTTCCATCAAAGGTCTCCACAGATGACATTTTGAACTTTTGAGGGAAGGGGTAGTTCGCTACATCAGGCTTGAAAGGAGTATCCGTACGCCTTACTAGGTGGTCTACAGTCTCGGATCCCAGTGCCTTCATGGCGTTGAAGACATCACCCAGTTGATTTTGTACTTTCTTGATTTTCTCGTCCCAATGATTGGGAGCTTCTCTGGAATGATCATGAAAATGACTTCCATGCTCGATGTTTGGTTCTCGCCCTCATCCTCCTAGAGATGAGGGTCCTCTCTATGGGAAGCAAGAGGAGAGGGAGGTGGAACTCCCTCATGTTGTGCTCCCTTGAGTGGGGCGCCCAAGGGGACTCCCAAGGGGGCGCCTAGGCGTGGAGCAGCAGGGCGTGGAGCTCCTTGGGGTCCTCCATGTTGTGCACCTCCAAGTTGTGTTCCTCCTTGTCCAGCAAACATGAGTTGCAACAGTTGTTGGTTTTGGGCCACCAGCTGCTACATGTTCTCCAACATTTGTTGGGGATTCGGAGCTGGAGCATTCGGGACAGGGTTGGCTGGTGGAGGAGTAACCTCCTCTTCTCACGGTGGACTGTCTTCGTGTTGGTTCATGGATCAGGTAGTGATCGCATTGGTTCAGTGGATGGAATGTTCAGGATTGAGAATTTTGTCTTCTTCCCACAGACGATGCCAAACTGATGATGCCCAATATGATTTTGCACACCACCTGTCAAGTGTGAATAATAAATGCAAGAAAATTAATAATGGGAGATAGAGAGACACAGACAATTTATAGTGGTTCAGTCAGCTTGACTTACGTTCACTCTTCAATGGCTTTTGGTTGCAGGGTATTTTATTAACTCAAGGGAGTGGGGGGCAGAGAGTACAAGTTTTGAAGGAGAAGAGAGAGTCGTGCTCAAGGAAAGTGTGATGCCCAGGTAATCAGTGTGTTTTTCCATGTGTTGGTAGGACGTGCAATTTATAGTGGCCCTCTAACAGATTGGGGCTACTCTTCAATGACTAAGCAACCATTTCGATGGAGCTCGCGATCCCTTCTCAACGAGCGAGGTGGTTGAGGAACTCTCTATGAGATGCAGTCAAACATATGGTAAGGGTGGACCGTTTCCTTCGGCGTGCAGATAAGGCATTTCATGCTCTCCCCCTTGATGACGTGGTTAAGCAAAGAGTCTAACTTGATCTTGGGCTATGTTGGGCTTGGTGGATCTTTAAATAAGGTTGAGCTTCTCAATTGAGATTTGGACTGTGCACATAGATTGGGCTATTTTAGGCTTGACCCATCAGTAATTATTATAATATATATAGTTAAGAATGAAAAGAGAATAAAAGGGTCATCCAACAATCATAAAAATCATAAGGAATTTGCATACAAGTGTCCAAATGCAAAGATCATGGATCCACTCTACAATCTGAATAGTCAATAGAGTAATTAAAAGTCATAGCTTCCAATGTGCACACACATTCCTTCAATAAAGATGTACTTTTGATTATGAACAAAAGCAACTAAATACATGGCTGTTACCAACTTATGTAATCCCTGCTCATTCGTGAGTCAATCAATCTATAGCTGGACTTCAGCATGGTTTAGGAAGACAGCATAAAGCATATAAACCTCAAGACTCTAGAAACTCAAACCAATACTAGCTGGAAGAATTGAATACTTCACATGATTAATTATACTAGCATAACATGGTCGTTTCCTTCAGCCTTAATACCAGTGCAAAACTTGAATTGAAAGTTTTTTTACCAGCAAATTATTATTTTTTCATATTTGAGTATGCGATTCAAATATCTGTAGCTAAGTGCTCTAATTGACAAAACTTTCTAGACAGAGAAAATACTCTTTATACTCACGCAGTCAATTGGATTCTCTTCTTAAAAATGCACAGAATAATCTGACAGAAATTTGTGCTGAAATTTCTGGAAAATCAGCATGGATTAATGATGAGTTATAAAAATCTAATGCAAAATCAAACCTTAGTATCTTACAGATACCTTGTTTTCTCCAAAAGAAAACCAAATATTAAGGGTAAGGGTGGGAAGGTAGACAGCAAATGAGTGAGATAACAAGTACGAGCTGAGATATTTTTCTCAGATCTTAAGTCTCTGAAACCGATATTTATGATCTGATAAATTTACTTTTACAATCTGAATATATGAACTGAACCTTTGAAAAAGCAAGCATTACTTTGTTTGAAGCAGGAAAACCAAAAACAAGAAAAAAGGATGGAAAAGCAATATCTCTGATTATATCCTAGCCACTGCAACCCAGACAGACGAAGAACATGAAGATGGTTCAAAATGTAAGAAACGATCCAGGCAGCTACAGCTCACAATCATCAGAGCTGTATACTTGCAAAAAAATAAAGCCATGCTGCTAACTTACAGGGGCCCTTCCTAGCTTAATTGTGGGAAGAAAAATCTAATTAAATGTTGATAAAAAATATGGTCCTATCAAATAAAACCTCACTTTTTGAGATAGACGACTTCTAAGAAAATGGTAAAAAAAATTAATCGCGCATTCTAGGACACATTTCAGGAAAGTTGATATAAGTTACTAAGATAAGACAGAAAACATTACACAAAAAATAAAATGAAAACAAAAAAGACAAGGCAAATAATGTATATTCTGCCAGCATGGAGCACTATGAAGTTATACCGATTCATGCATGAAAGAAGTTCACTCGCACATGATTTAGCTTGAAGAAATTAACCAGAAGGTGCAAACAAAGCTAGACATCAGCTGACTAATGAGTTATGTACTGGAAACAGAATTAAGAGGCTAACAATAAAGGAAAAAATAAGGAGCAAAGATATAAATTTTTAGCTCATATTTTCCTATTATAAGATAAAGAAATCAACTTTGATGCTCCAATCATGAAAACAGAGATATAAAGTTTCAGCCCATACTCTTATATCATAAAATTGATGTTGTAAGTAATATTATTATATAAGAAACTTACAATCCTTAAGGCAAAAGACTTATATAAATATGGCAGGTAGATACCAAGGGTAAATTCATAGATGGCAGAAATCCAAAAACTTAACACCAGAATGCCCATCACTATACCCTCTCGCATAACCATATGCAATTATGTTTTTTCTTCATAATTTTATATTTGCACATAGGAATTCAAGTATATTCTACCGGGAACCTCTTTTCTGTGATGTATCAAGAGCCAAGCATAAAGGACTTAATCCACACATCAGGGAAGCCATGGAGCCAGCAATGTCTGCAATCCTGTAGACTGTACTGTAGAGATTCGCAATCTTCAAGCAAATATTTCTTAAACGATATTACAGCTATTGGAGAGGAAGAAAGGTTCCCATCTATAATCTATACATTGAACCAAAGTGCCATATCTACCCTCCCATCGAAGAAAACTGGGTGATAGGAAAAAGGCTTTTTTCTGTTTCTTCTGGACCATATCCAATTCTTTACAACCTGAACCTCTTGGCCAATTTGTATGATCTTTTTCAAATTTTGGGATAACAATGCAGAAAGTAATAACCAAAAACTGCCAGATTCCTCCATTGTTCTACAAGGATCATTTTAACCTTTGATTTTCAGCAAAAATGAACATATCATCTTGCTAGATCTTCGTACTGTTCAGGCAACATGTTTGTATCATTGACAAATATTAGAAAATGGTAGCTGGAAATTAAAAATTGACCATATATTCATGAAGAAATATGTTTTTCCAGAATTCAGCAATAAGCGATGCATGTCATCAGCAAATTTCAAATGTGATTGGTCGAGGTATACAATAGCCAAAATTCAATTAAATTTACAAACACGTGAAGAAAAAAATGTAGAGATGATTCTGCCACCAAATGCAATCATGTTGTTTTTTTTTTTTTTTTTGTGCCAGCAAGAAAAAAAATCCCTTTAGTGGGAGCTAAGAGGTAAGAGTATAAAAAAGAAACATTGACAATGTTTTCTTGTGTTCTAATGGCGAAGAATAGTCACCATATGATTATTACGATTTGGAAGCATAATCATTACATTGTCATTAAATAAGCAATATCATAAGAAATGGGGCAAACATCCCATCAATGAAATGAAACCAAGTTCCTCACCTCTATGCCTTCCCCTTTGTTACATCTCTTACCCACTCAACACAACCCCCTTCATTCTAAAACAACACCATTCCTTAGATCTTCTCCAGTTCTTTTCTTGTTTTTCATCAAGAAAAACTAGTATTACAGAAACATTAATTGATCTGCAGTGGTGTTATCCATGTGTATTACAAAGCTGTATTTTCCAGTTTACCTTTCCTTTTTTCTGCTGCATGCTGTCGTTTTTGTTGTTGTTGTTGTTGTTGTTGTTGATGACGATGTTGTTGTTGCTTGTGATCATGTTTCAAGATTTGAGAATATACCAGTTCATTCCACGTATCAGGGACACCGGGAAGGCACCAGTGGCTGCAATCCTGGTACCTCAATAGTGATTGTCTCTCCTCCTCTGTTAAATTTGGCCTCCTGTAAACTGATGGGTGTGCATCCTTGCGATAATCTGTCATCGTTGTAATGTTTAAATAGAAGACTGGTGTCTTCATCCCCTGTAGCACCCGTTCCAACATTCCCATTATTGGAGGATAGAGTGATGGTGATAGATCTCTGTCATTGTCGATTGGTTCAGTCTCGTTATCACATTTCCCACCAGAATACCACTCTCCACCACTGTAAATAGAACAAGAATCACAAAAAAAAATTAAAAAAAATCCATGAGCTTCTAAGTTTTGCACAATCTATTTCTAAATTCAAAAGGACCAAACGTGTTTCATTTACCTAAAATGGGAGACTGAATATCCTCTAAAGATAACGAGGGTCTTCACGGGATCTACATTGGCTTCAATCCATCTTGCCCATGTTGTCATAGCTTTCCGGAATGCCTCAACAACATTCAATTCACCATAAATATGGCTACCTTCTTGGTAGTAACCCTTCCTACAAATTTCCATTAAGTTTCAAGATCATAGTTTAGTAACTAGAAGAATGAAATCCAAAATGAGACGTCCTTCATATTCATTCATCAAGATAGATGGGTTGATAGGTAGATATAGACAGGAATACCCGGCAGATGTTTTCTCATGAGTCCACCAGTGGCCTGTGTTAAAGACAAGGACATCTGCGGTTTTGTATTTATCAGATGATCTCTCAACCAGATCAAGCCGAAGTGTTTCCTTCGTTGATCCAGCTGATCCATTCGTTTCCGGCATCTCCCATTCTTGAACCAAAAATGGAGATCGAAAGAACTCCACTGAACAATTATAATCCTAATCAATCCAAAATCAGCAAAGTTAGCATAACAAAAGAAAATCAAATTGATGAAAAAACTAATGCAGTATTCCGCTAGCATCTTGTAATTGCTTCTTGCACTGATGAATCCTAATATAATTTGAAATTCACTTTCAAAGCATAATGAGTAAAACTACTAAAGCAATATTGATCAAATCATGGAAAAATCTATACAAAATGGAAATCAACTGCAATAACATACCGTGAATACAAAAGAGTACGAACCCTCTGTCCGAAATTCCTGTCTGCCAGAAGCTTCATAGACTCTGCTCTTATCTTGCACTGAATTTCTAAGCAGGCAAACCATTGATTCCCACATATTCCTATTCAAAGAATCACCCACATACACTAACCTCTTCCCTCTCAATAATGCCAACAAAGTCCCACCACTCAACCTGCAAAACAAGTTCAATTAATCCAATCTCACTACACAAAACACCCAGAAACGCATATTCACAAAATGTACCTATAACAGAATGAACATAAAACTCTGCTATTTTCACTACCTTGGTAAGTTGCAATGTTTAGGCTGCCATCTGAACTTCTCGTAAGCATTATCGCGCCTTCCATTAAGAAAACAATTGAAGGGCTCGTCTATGTGAGGACATGAACCAGCTTCATATAAGGGGTTCACATCATCCCTCACCCATCTCCCATAAAAAATGTCACAACGATCCAGAATTTTCAACCAATTATCTTTTCTCTTCTTCTTAATTGATGAACCTTCAGCTCCATCACTCTCTCTATTCAATAAACCTGTATGGTTCGACATTGCATTTGGTCTAACCCCTTCTATATTATCACCATTTTCACCGTAAGAAACTGCAGACCCATTTGGAGAAATATAGGAACTATTAATTTTCCCGGAAAACCCATTATTTTTCCGGGAAAATTGGTTTGGAATAAATGGGTTTTGGGAGGTATTATTTGGGAAAAAGTAGTGAGAGAAAAAGGAAGAAAACTGGGACCTGTTTTTAAGGATATTTGTGAACCAAATGGAGGAATGGTTCGTAGAAGGGTTGTTGAAGACAAAGAAGACGGTGCATGCCACGCAAATGAAGGTGAAAACATAAGCCAATGCCATTGATCTCCGAGTCTTGCATGATAATGCCCTGAATGAAGGAGAGAATAAGCTTTTCTTCAACTCTGGCATTTGGCTTTTGTTATTGATGCTGTTGTTGGGTTTTAATGATAAGTACGTTTTTGTTATGGGTAATGCTGTTGGTGAATCGTCCATGGTGGTGTTAGAGAGAGAGAGATGGTGGGGGAACCAGAGAGAGAGAGAGAGAGAGAGAGGGGAGAGAGGGCAAGAGAGAGGGAAGGAATGTATATATATATATATATCACGGGGAGAGGAACAAAAGAAAAGAAAAGAGAGCAGATACATGAATCGTGTTGCTGCGATAATATCGTATTTTCTATAAAAATATCTATAATACAATTTAAATTTTACAAGGTAAAAAAAAATAATTTTATTTTTTGTAGTTAAAATCTTTTTAAATTTTATTTTAAAATTAATCTAACGACTAATATTTACATCTAAAATTTAATAAGAAAAAATATAGATCCGAATAGTGTATTTGAGGTGACTTTTTAAGAATGTTTTTAAAACTTATAATTTTTCAAAAAAATTTTAAGAAAAAAATAGTTTTTATAAGCACCCCATCACCATTACTACAACCACCATCCCTATCACCCCCACCGCCCAACCAACACCAGCACCACCACCACCACCACTACTACCGTCTTCATCATTCCACCACCACCTCTGTTACAACAACTATCACCATTATCGTAATCGCCACCATTACTGTCGTTACCCTACCACCACCATCACACCCATCGCCCCACAATCATCACTACCCACCACCCCCTACCACCATCACCACTACCATCACCAACCTAGTATAACCTCTGCCACAAAAACTACCACCATCATTGCTCCAGTATCACTGTCGCCACCCCACCAACATCACCACCCCACGACTAGCATTCCCACTACCAACACCCCCTACCATCACCACTATCACTACCACGCCACTCCCACCACCACCATTGTCGTTGTTACCCCCGTCGTTGCCGCCACCAACACCACTGTCTCCACCACTACCACCATCACCACCCACCACCAATTGCTACCATCATTGTCCACCGTCACTATCCACTACTATTGTCATCTTATTCTTATATTTATTATCATTACCACAATAATCTCATTAACATCGTTGCCCATCACCACGACCATTCACCACTAGCCATTAGACTATCACCCAAAAGCACCTGTGTTGACCACCATCACTACCAACGTCATCGCCCACCACCATAACCTACCACCACCACCGCCACTGTCGTCGCCTCACCACCACCACTACAAACTACCATCATCGTCGCCCACCACCACCTATATCCACCACCACAATTGTCATTACTTATGACTACCACCACCACCACTTATGACTACCACTACCACCATTGTCACACAAAACCCATCACAACCATCACCTTTGTCACCCATGGCTATCACCATCATCACGGTCATTACCACGCACCACAATCATCATCGTATTTCACCACCACCATTACCACTACTCAACCAACTATAACCGATGCTTAAATTCCTTTCTCTTTCCTCTATAATAGTGATTTAATTTTGGGTGTAAATACAAATATATTTAATATTGACAATTTTTTATTACTCAGTGCTTTCAAACACGGACAATAACTAATGTATATAATAACGTACAATAAAATTCTAATCTCAAAAGATAAACAAAATAATTTTTATTTTTCGCAGTTAAGATATCTTTAAATTTTAAATTTAATCTGACGGCTAATATTAATCTCTTAAATTTAATAGGTAAAATAGGGCCCTAAGAGTGTGCTTGAGTAGACTTTTTAAAAGTACTTTTAGAATTTATAACTTCTCATAAATACTTTATTTTTTAAAAAAAGGTAATGTTTGGAACTGACCCACCACCACCATTATTACTATCACCACTCCCATTACCACTACCACCACCACCACCGTCGCCGCCATCCCACCACTACCAACATCACCATCACCACCACCACTACCACCTTTGCCACATCAAACCACCAACACCACCCCAGCACCACCCCCGCTGTTGCTGACTTGATCCGAAATGTGTACACCCAAGTGCAGGTGGTCAAGTTGTAGTAATAATCCGGTTAAGTTTGGAGTCGAATCTATAGGGAACTATGATTAGTGTTTTGAAGTAAGCAATAATAGAGACCAAGTAACTGAAAATTTCGAGAGTTTGGAGTGGTGAGGTTTCTTGAATATAATAGAAGATTCTTTTCAAGAGGTTTTTAGACAAAATATAAGATTCTCAAAATGTAACAGTCACCCTTTAACTCCCATGTCAACAACAAGTTAATTAGAATATAAAGATGGATTGTGAAAATTAAACACATGATTTCGAAACCTTTCTAGAAGTTTACAAGAATTGTATGTTCTGAGACTTAACCCGTCTACAAACAAGCAAGTGTTTCTACAAGGCATCCAATCATGGAATTAAGGGTTCATTCTTTGAATAAAATGCAATAATGGTGGAGATTGAATGATTGTTATGAAGAGCCGGGGTTCTTGCCTTGAACCAACTGGTCTTTCTATACAGGAGTCATTTGTATCATAGAAGAAGCCCTTGGTTATACAAAATACCTTAACTTTACTAGATGCATTCAATCATCCAATGTATAGGTGGAATATAAAGCATGAAACAATGAACGAGTTGCACAAACATAGCTTTCGGATAATCTTTATATATTCATCACCTCTTATTAAAGAGTAAATGAGGAACTACTCACTTTTCATGGCCTTGACAAAGCTAGAAAAGTGAATGCTACTCATTCCTCTAGGTAGAGGAGATACTAAGTGAAGAAAACTAAACAAAGAGTTTATCTTCAATGAAGAATAAGTGAATCACTTTCCACCCTTCACAGCTTTGGTAAAACTCTAGAAAAGTGGAAGAGTTTCACTCTTCTAAGAAGGAAGAATGCTCAAGCAATGGAAGTGAAATGTATGAACAATAAAAGTAGAAGAAAGCTAGTTACTTTTGAAGGGTTTTCACCACAACCAAAAGATGAACTATTTCTCTTGATACTTTGTAAATAAAAACAAGTACAACTACAAGGGGAGTCTAAGCCTCTATCATGGTTACAACATGAATGTAAAGATTTAGCAGAAGTAAATAAAAGACTTCAACTATAAGGGGAGTCTAAGCCTCCATCATGGTTGATATAAATACAAAATGAAAACATAAACATGAATGTTCAAGAACTAGATTACTAAACTCTCTCTTACTTTACAAGAAAAAGGATTGCTCCCCCTTTACTCTACAAGAGGAAGAATGCCCCTTTAAGCTCCCAACATGGGAGTATTTATAGGTAAGGAAGGGCAAAAGGGGGGGGGGGGGTGAAGGAATAGTGTTTGCCGTCCAAGTCCAAGTGAAAAGCCAACAACTCTACAGCTAGTCAGTGAGGGACGTTCGAACGTGATCTGGCGTTTGAACGTTAAGTTTGTCTTTTCTTTAAGGATGTTCAAATGTGAGATGTTGTTCAAACATTGTCTGTGTCTTTGCTTTGAGGGGCGTTCAAACGATAGATGGGGTCTGATTCGTTCCACTCAAGTGGCATGTGGTCTCTGTGATGGTCACTTCCATACGTCTTGAACAACTTTGACCTTACTCTCAGCAACTTGGTCCTCAGTCACTCAAGACAATGTTCGAACGTGGAGTGCCGTTCGAACGTTGTACTCAAGTACTTATGTTTTGTGGTTCTTCTTTCTTTACTGCAACATGTCAGGTTCCAGTAGTTTTGTCTTCTCAGGATTCTAGAGGACGTTCGAACGTGAGTTGGCATTTGAACGTGGTACTTAAGTACCTCAACATTTTCCCTCTGTTGACTACAACACGCCATGTCTTAGCAGCTGGTCTTAGCAGGATTTCAGAGGACGTTCGAACGTGGGTTGAAGTTCGAACATTCTTGCTTTGTCCCAACCTTTTGTAATTTTGTTCCCTATTGTGGTAGTATTACATTGAAGTGTGATTTTTGTTGTTCTTCAGCCTTTGTTCACTTTAGGATCGGAAATGTCATTACTTAAACTTCATCAAGGTACAATTAGTCCAAAAAGGCATAGTAAAAAATGTTTATTTTATACATGAATTAGTTGCCACCCCACTATCACCCCCATCGTCCCACCAATACTACCTCTACCATAATCACCCCCACAACTATCGCCATGGCCACCACCACCACCGTCACGCCCCACAACTACCATTATTGTCGCCACGTTCCCACTACCACCGCCACCATAACCACCACAACTGCTGTCGTTACCCTACCACAATTGCCATTATCCCATCATCATCATCACCCCTACCACCACCTCCCCCATCGCCCCCACCAGCACCACCCCCACCCATTGCTACCCAACCCACACCATCGTCGCCACCCCCACCATCATTGCCACCCTCACCACCATCCCTACCATTGTAGCCATAGCCCTACCATCATCGCCACCCCACTACCATCTATGTCATAACCACCATCGTCAGCCACCACCAATTGCTCCCACTATCGTCAATCGCCACTACCCATCACCATCGTTATCTCATTCTTATATTTATTATCACTATCACCATTATCCCACTACTACCATCGCCCACCGTTAGCACCTATAACCATCATCGTTGCCCAACACCACCCGTTATTGCCTACCATTATCGCCAACCACTGTCACCCACCTCCACAACACCTACCGTCACCAACCACCACCATCTGTCATCACCCACAATCGTCACCACCCCATTGTCACCCACTCCCATCACACCTGTTACTACCACCACCCCCGCCATTCGTCACCACCCATCACATTGTCACCTGTAAGCACCCGTCGTCGCCCACCACCACAACCCAAAACCCCCACGACAATCGTTTTCGCCCCCACCATTGTTGTCGTCACTCATGGCTGCCACTACCACTATTGTCACCCAAAATCTACCACCACCATCATTGTTGCCACCCACAATCATCACCACGCACGACAACCATCACCACACATGACAACTATCATCGTCTCCCACCACCACCACTTCCACCGCTTAGCCCCACTACAACCGATGCTTAAATTTCTTTCTCTCTTTCCTCTTTGATTTTGATTTGATTTTTTGTGTGAATATTGTTGACCATTGTTTTTATTATTCTGTGTCTTCAAGC